GCTAATGAAGGCTTGTGTATGCATATGTATGTTTAGCTAAATTGACAGCAAGCTTTATTTGTATGACACGAATTTTATTTATAGGCATAAAAAAATATTTGTTATGTCAAAAGCTTTTACTTTGTGTCAATGCTTTATGAGATATGTGTGACTTTTAATACTCCTTCACTATTATATTCCTTTGTTGAGGGAAAGAACATGTTTTGTCTGGACAACTATCTTTTTATTGTACTTATTGCACTGAAATACGTACAACGCTTATAGGTAAGCTGTGTATGCTAGAATCTACTTTGAATATCATGACGTATGCTCCCATGAGTCTAAAGACATAAGCTTTAGAGGGCTTTGCATCTTTGGATGGTCGTTAGTCTTTGGTGTAGTTATTTAAAGATTTTTTTTTCGACATCATCAAAGTCTGGAGTGATATTTTAAACAAACATTTATGTGTAGAATTGTGTCCAATCTTGTAAGGTGAGGTTTGTAAGGTCTAATAGCGGTCCGACAACGGGTGGAATAAAAATGCGCAAGAAACAAGAAATATCGCTAGGATAGACTTTAACCATGACTCTGATACCATATTAGAAAGTGAGTTTTAAGCCTAACTCAACTCCACAATACGGCTTGTAAGGTGAGGTTTGCACCTCACTTATATATTATAATTTAGCCTTATCTCTANCTCTCTCTCTCCTCTCTTCCTCTTTCAGACAACACTGAAAAATGTAAAAACCCTTTTCAAAACCCAAACTTTTAGTTTGTGTTCTCTTACTGCAGGGATATCATCCTCATAAGCAATGGATATTTTAAAAATTAAGATGAAAAAGATGTGGAATCACTTTTATTTACTTAATAGTTTGAATTAAATAAAAAATATCTGCATAATTTAGCTTTGGGAATAATTTATTTTAAATATAAATAAAAGTGTCCATTTATTTTCATTTCTTTGAAATATTTTTTGTCCTAATTTTATATTATTACTTTTAATTATAACATTAGTTAAAATAATAACTAACCCAGTTGGTGAGCTTTAGTGAATTATATGTATGTTCAGAGTGTTCTATGTTTGTCATTGTCTTTTATAACAAAATTTCATATTAATACTACGATAATAAATTAATAAATAAATAGTCGAAATTTAAGAAAATATATATTTCAAAAAATTTAAAATAATTCATTTAGCATCTTCATGAGATAAAAGAAGCAAGGAAAATATGAAAATTAGGAGAAAATGAGAATAACTGGATTCAAAACAAGACTTTAACTTTGAAATATTATTAATATACTCTTTAGTATAAAGTAATCAGAAATTGAGCTAGGATTATTCGTAGAAAACCGAATTTTATATTCATACAGGGAAATATTTTTTTTAAATCTTGTACTCATGTCTCTCGATTTTAATTTTAAGATTAAATATATTTTTAATTTAAAAATGTTACATACAATTTAATCTTCAAACTTTAAAAATACCTAATTGTATTCAATTCTTTTGACATGTCAAATATTATTTTATAATAATATTGAGATATTTATATAATTTAATTTTAATATACGTTAACTTAAATATTAGCATGAAAGACTATTTAATATGTAAAAAAAAACATTAATATCGTTGAATTAAAAATAGTATAACCACTAAATTTTAAAGATTGAGATCAAAATATAAGTTTTAGACCAAGACAAATTTTAATTTTGTGTTGAAGTTTAAAAATTAAAAACATGTTTAAAATTTAATTTTATTTCACTTTACAAATTTTATTCCAACATGACATTTTAGAATAAATAAAAATAAACAAGTTTGGCTGATCTTGGACATTCTAAATGCGTATGATGTATTAAAGATGAGAATCACTTAATATGTTTGAATTTTTCTCTTTCATCTTAAGACTTAATCATATATTCATATTTTATAATTTGACATAATTTTAGAAAGAAGATTTCATTTTCTTATTTCATTTTTCATTAGAGTTTATTTTTAAAAGGTTTATAAAGTTTGGAAAGGAAGTTTCATTTCTTTGCATTTCATTTAAGGTAAGGTTAGAGTTATAAGATTAATTTGGTGGTAAAATTGGAAGGGAAGGTTGAAGAGGTCCTAAGTTAAAGTCCCTCACTTAATGATTTAAGAAAGTATGTTTCATCTTTTGTGGTGTTCAAGTGAAGTATTAATCATCTATTCTGGTATTTCAAAGAAATTGATTTATCATTATCTTTTGATTTTTTTTTTAGAAAATGTGTGTTTTTTTCTTGATTGTGATTTTGCATGTTTTACTTTGATTAGTAGTTGTAATATCTTATTCAAGATAATTTCATAATCACTTTGTTTCAGGTGATTCCAAGTGGATTTATGATCTGTTTTGATATAAATTAGTATAAATTGTTTATATGTAACTTTTTCTATTTCTTATTCATTGAATTTCACTGTTATTGAAAAATATTTAATTTTTATTTACTTTGCTAAAATACTTTGATATTTGTTATTACAATTTAATGCAAACTTAAGGATTTAATAAAAATAAGTTTTGAATAGCTTAATTTTTAAAATTAAAAATTTAACTTCAAACCATATCACCCTTTCTTTTCTAGGTTTTATTCAATCTTTTCTCTTATTCTAACACCTGAGATATTTAAGAGTTATAAGGTTAAAACAAATTAAATCATAATACTAATAAAAACATTTGATCACTTTAAAAATGGTTGAAAGTATGTAACAAAAATCAATATACAACAAAGTGCGTGACTAATGATTAAGGACGATTTCCAACTAAGGAACCCCTTCCTATCGGTTACAACTTTCGACATACGTAAGCACCAAGTACTGAAAAGGTCAAATCCAAACTCCTTCATAAATTGTTTAATGCTCGGGCTTTGGGACCCTGTGTACCGTATGTTTGTCCGGTCAAACCCAAAAAATCAAACATTAACCAAATGGTCTAACTCCAAGACTGATGACATTTGTCGAAATCTCTAGACCAAGATCCTTTGGTCAACCACTCTAGGTCGATCTCCCTCGGCCGACCACCTTTGGTCATCCATCTTTTCGATGAACTCTTGGGAATATCACCCATGGTCACCCTTGACCGACCACTTTGACCGAATAACCTTGTTGATCAATTACAAAAAGTCATTAACAAGAATGGTGATCACAAATCAACCTATTAATTGTTGATTAAGGTATGATTGTGTTGTGATTAGACCGACAAAAAGGTAAAGCCCCATAACAAGTACTATAAATAAGGTCTAAGGTATGACTTTCAGATATACATGCACATAACATGCATTACGACATTAATTGTTAACCAATTGGTCATCTATTGACTTTAGCATCATAATACATTTTCCAGGTACCATCCAATTGGACTAGAAGGTGACCCAGCATCTATTCGACCACATCTGAACAACTTAGACACACAAAAGACTCAAAATTGAACAATTTAGACTTTATACGACATGAGAAAATTAACTTGGGTTAATCTACTTTTCTATGAAAAACAAAGGGTTCCATTAATCAAACAATGATTAAAATTATTCTTTGTGCTGTCTATGCCTTATAACAAGTATACAAAAGCCTCTTGAGCTATCCGCTAAACTCACCTCGGGCTTAAGCACCAATATGCAATTTGTGTTAAAGATAAATATACAAAATATCTTTAAGCTATACAAAAATAAGTTGTTGGTTTAAAAGGTTTACCAAATGAAATTTCTCTCTATGCCACCAAGAAGACAAGTTACAAATGACCGCTTTAGAAGCTAATGAAGGCTTGTGTATGCATATGTATGTTTAGCTAAATTGACAGCAAGCTTTATTTGTATGACACGAATTTTATTTATAGGCATAAAAAAATATTTGTTATGTCAAAAGCTTTTACTTTGTGTCAATGCTTTATGAGATATGTGTGACTTTTAATACTCCTTCACTATTATATTCCTTTGTTGAGGGAAAGAACATGTTTTGTCTGGACAACTATCTTTTTATTGTACTTATTGCACTGAAATACGTACAACGCTTATAGGTAAGCTGTGTATGCTAGAATCTACTTTGAATATCATGACGTATGCTCCCATGAGTCTAAAGACATAAGCTTTAGAGGGCTTTGCATCTTTGGATGGTCGTTAGTCTTTGGTGTAGTTATTTAAAGATTTTTTTTTCGACATCATCAAAGTCTGGAGTGATATTTTAAACAAACATTTATGTGTAGAATTGTGTCCAATCTTGTAAGGTGAGGTTTGTAAGGTCTAATAGCGGTCCGACAACGGGTGGAATAAAAATGCGCAAGAAACAAGAAATATCGCTAGGATAGACTTTAACCATGACTCTGATACCATATTAGAAAGTGAGTTTTAAGCCTAACTCAACTCCACAATACGGCTTGTAAGGTGAGGTTTGCACCTCACTTATATATTATAATTTAGCCTTATCTCTAGTCGATGTGAGACTTCCAACAACAATAATAATAGAAGGACTGGTATCCTAGTATTACTTATGAAAATAATAACATTGTTGAGAATGACATTATTTGCAATGTTGATAATAATACTATTATAATTAATAATGTTGAGTATAACAATACTATTAGTAATACTAGTATTTCTGGTGAAGCAGCGACCCTAGTATTACCAATGTTAGTGGTGGTAGTAATTGAGTTTTTTTGGATTAACTTTTTTCACAAACACTTCCAGAGAAGAAAATGAAAAAAAAAAATGAAAAAAATATTTAGATTGATTTCTTCATAAACTAAAATTTAACAGACATGCGAGTTCCTTGACTTTAACTTCATTAGAGAGGGTTTCTCATTCTTAAAAATTTTAAGTATTGTTCTTCTCTTTATTTGTTTCCCATCCTTGATTTTTTTTTCTTAATAATTATAATAAGAATAAGAGTACAGACCTCGAGAGATTTACATTATGGAAACATGTTTGGCTAAATATGTTGACAAAGTTGTTTGCTTCAGTGTTTTAAGTAAGGCAACAGATCTTGGTGTTGTTTTTTGATGCAAGAGAAGGGTAACAGATAATAACGCTTGATGTTGTTTATTGTTCCTAACTTTGTTATCCTTTTCTGGATGGACGAAACCAAAATGTGACCAGAAGAATAGTGCTTTCTACAAAGAACTTGAGGAAGCAATAACAGATGCAGCATAACACAGTAAGAGAAATCACATATATCATTTGCAATGTCCGCAGGAATCACAATGCTATGAGAAAAATAACACTTCTGTGTTGTGTCCTGTCATTGCTAATCGTCATATACCAACTTTGAACAATAAGATGATCACAGCTTAGCGCAGATGGTGCCTGCACAATGCAAAACGAAAACCAATCGACTGAGATGACGAATCTGAGTCACATAAACTTTACAAAAGAGTTTACCAAACCTACCTTAGAGTCTCTTTTGTACCACGGCGTATTTTGCAACGGATGGTGGGGAGTCCAAGGCGTTGGTGAGCCTCATAGCGATGACAACCAGAGAAACCTACAAACCAAAGACAATGGAGACATTGTCATATTATGTTTTCACTGTGAGAAGGCATGGATGGATCTTCAAAGCATATTGATTTTGTTGTTGGTGGAATCTTATAATTTTAACTATGAGCAGCATGACCAGGTAACAATGTAATAAAATTATAAGATTCCACAAACAATCCAGAAAAGAACATACCGTAATAGACTCCATCAACCTCCAGGACATCAATCTGCATCACTTAAAAGAAACTTGAATCAACAGTTCAGCAATATATTTTCTAGAACCAGACATTTATTTAATAACAATGGTATTGTAGTTAGAGCAGGACTGCCATCTGTAACTGGTGTTAAATTTTGGTTACTTTCCCCACTTTCTTCCGAATAATTGTACTAAAATTCAACCAAGCTTTGATAACAACTATTCACAATTCCACTCAAAATAAATGATAGGGGATGCATTCTGTCTTATTGTCCTCTATAAGTTGAAACTAAGCTTAATAATGTTGTCCGAAGCCAAAAGAGATTAATACCAAATCGTTGTCGAAATGATATTTTTATTTTCTTGTAGAAGTCATGATCTGGTGAAAGTTCTCTTAAACAAAGTGAGTAATCATCATAAAGGGCCATCTGAAAAAAAAAATACAAGAATTGGAGAATAAATGTTTTAGGATTGTTGTCTCAACTAAGCCTCAGTCACAAGTACACAAGTACACAATATAAAAGAAAATGGCTGTAACAATGAATCTTTGCATCCATCGGTAAACTCCTAAAAAAAATCTGACTCTGAAAGAGAGGGGACCTTGATAACTACTAAAGGCTCTATCTATGGCTAACAAACATAAGGGTCGCCCTGTTAATGGTGGAGATACTACAAAGAAAGACATCTCAAAATCTCCTTCAGCGAAACATGAAACTCTTACCTCTTAAATGAAAGTAACAATAAGGAAAAAGGGAAAAATCTTTCTATGCAAAGATAATAGCTCATTAACAGTTTGGAGTGGGAACGCAGATACTGCTATTCCAAATTCCAGTGAAAAATTGTTCCAACAAATCAATAAAAATCGTTTTAAGTTGGTTGCTTTCACATTTTTTTTTCTGTACTCGCAGATCTGAATAGCCAAAGCTTGAAGACCAAAGAAAGAAGCAATTTAAGCACATAAATCCAATTCAAACTACATCCAATAGATCCTGAAAACACAGAAAAGCCAACACCCGTAACTTCACTTTCCCATAAACCCAACTGAGACATACCAATATAGCAGAAACAGTACATAAACTCCAAAAGTAATGGAAAATATTTTAAACATGAATCAGCATAAAGGAGCAAGTGGTTACAGGTACTTGGAGACCAATTTCCTTGATACTATCCATTAATTCCTTTACTTTGTTTGGATCATTTGCTCTGGTCCTCATCAAAGGCCTTCTAATCTTATCTATAGGAATTTCCAATATCACAGGACCTCCACCCCCACCACTACTGCTTCCAGAGCCACCAGGTGGAGCACCTAAACAATTAAATAAACCATATGAAAATGAAACAAAGAGAATAAAAACGCAATTTCAATTGACAGAAAGAAATAGAGAGTATTGCACCGTTGGGGTTGGACGAAGCAAACATGGCGAAACTCCTTACGGTATTTGGAACTCGCAGAACAAAATTTGCCATTTTTCTTCTTCTTCTTCTTACCAAGGTATTTCATTTTTTTCTCTCACGGTTCTAAATATATAGTCAAAATGGTGTGAACGGAGAACCTGATGATTGCTATCACCACTCAAGCATGGCCCACTTAAATTCAACGACCAAGATTGTTCTTTTGAAGCTATATAATAGACCCTTCAACACGGAATTCGCTCCACAAATTGGTGAGAGGTTTTCCCTTAAAATTTGATTCCAAATAATTTTCAACTTCGCCGGGAACCATGGCAGCGATCGTTCTTTCTCATGAACTTGTAGAACACTGGCAGCTATGGATTGACATTAACCTTTCCTCAATATTTAAAAGGTTAAATATGTTTTTAGTATTTAAATTATTGTAGTTTTTGATTTTCGTCTCTGTTTTAAATTAAGGTACAATTTGATCCTATTTTTTTCAAAATTTTGGTTTTAGTTTCCGAAAACTAACACCGTTAAAAATGTGGTAGTTTTCGAAGACTAAAACCAAAGTTTCGAAGATTAAAACTAAAATTTCGAAAACAATGAAAATCAAATTGTACCTTATTTTGAAAGAGGGATGAAAACCAAAAACAGACTAAAAGCATATCTAACCCTTATTTAAAAGGCTCATATGATTTTTCTACTGAATTGATTTACTTTATAGTTTAGATTTTATAAAAAAAATTATTAAGTATTTAAAACTTCCAAGTAGATTTTTATGTTTAATATTTTTATCAATTGATATGTAGGAGTAATTCTTATAAATATGAAATTTATAGTAATTAATATTGTTTTTACTGGTGTTGTGAGCGTGTATTTGATACAAGTGGTATTAGGGATGATAGATATTGGTAGATAAAATAGTTAATATCTACATATATTTATTATTTATGAGTTAAGGATGGTAGATATTTTATTATTTATTTATAAATAGGTCAATTACGGGTATTATATTATCTAATATGTGGATACTTATTATTTGTAAAAAGTAAAAATAATAATTTAATTTATATTTTATTACAAAATTAATAAGTTAAAGATCAATGAATTTCAACTTTAAGATAGACTATTTCAATCTGTTGTGCTTTGGGCCTACCCACAACTTTAAACAAATTTAAAACATTTGAAACATAAGTTAATATATTAATATCATAATGAATTGATATGAAAGAATGTAATATTTACGTTTGTAACAAGGATTTCTAGTTATATTTCATCTTCCTAGACTGGGAACAAAACCATACAACTTGTGTTTTTCTTGGTATGTCAATGACCCATAATATGTACCAACAAATAGTGAGTCTATTAATTAAATTTTGATAAAAATGGATAATATTGAGTAAAACATACACATCAATGTATGATGCGATATACAACTCTCTTCTAGACTCAACCATCCATGTTTGCATATGTGATTGTGTGTGTGTGTGTGTATATATATATATATATATATATATATATATATATATATATATATATATATATTTTTTTTTTCTTTTTTAGTTTTGCGAATGAAAATTATTAAAATACCCTTAACCTTAAAACTTAGAATTCATGATATATAAGGGTATTTTTGTCTACTAAAATCTGGTACACATTGCTAAAATGTACTAATTGAAAAACAGGCATACGCGCGTTATCAATTTTGCCCAGGAGTGCAAAAGGATAAGTGTGGGGGTGTGACGAGTGCATATTTATGCCCACATTTATGCTTTAAAATTTAAATTTTTTGATGAGATATTTGTGCTTAAATGATTGATTTAAAGAAGATTTGTGATGATTGGATTGATTGTGTTTGGAAATAAAGGGGCGTAAAAAGTGTGTTTTAGCGCATAAATTATTCTTGGATGTTCTAATGTTTGTTGATGCAACTGAAATATAAGCTTTGTTGGTCCAAATTTTAATTCAAGGCCCAAAATCAGAATTATTATGAAAATAAGAAATTAGTTTATTCAATAAAAGGAGCTGAGTGCACCATTGTTTTTACAAATATACACTCCCAACTCTGAAACAGGCCCAAGAAGACCAAGCCCAAAACATTGAACCTTCTACACCCTAAACTTTCTTACACACACCTCTCCTACCACTAACTAGTCAGATTTCACCATATTACGCCATGTGGCAATCCATCACCAACATACCAAACCGTCCAGATGATGCCATATCACTGATCCTTGCACTCACTAGTGAACCAATCAGAACACGCCGCCTCTGCCACATCACCCTCCTCTGCCACATCATCGTCATCTTCCACCCACTGAAACCCTAATTCCCAATCCAAACCCTAGCCGCCGTTCCACTTCCTCTAGGCCATCCGCCGTCAGCCACCGCCGCACCATGTGCCGCTGTGAAATCGCACAGCAACCACCGTCAACCACCAAGGCCGCCGCCAATTCAAAATCCAGCTTGTCGTCATCATCACGCAACCTTTCTTCTTCCTCGCGAAACCGCGCCACCGTCCATCACGCACATCTATGGCAGCCACCAGAGAGTCGCCGCAAGCAGCTCCATTACTCTTCTCATCATCATCTCGTCGGGCAACCATCTTCCTCGCGCCTCGCCACTACAGCGCCGTCGCTGCCGTAGAAACCCTGGCGTCACCATCGTCACAGATCCACCTCCACGCCGCCGCACTGCTAGCCGCTAGTCACTTCCGCCACGACGCAAATGGCATCAGCCTTCATCGCGAGCAACATCCTTGCTCCACCATGTCGCGCCGCCTCAACATCCACCTTCATTGCGTCATTAACGACGACACCACTTCCTCCATCTCTGATCGCCACATCTCCCAGCCACGATGGCCACCATGCTGTCGTTGCCTTCGTTCTCATCCATGGACTTTGCAACCTCCATCATCAACGAGAGTCATCTCCTTCGCACAACCTGCACTCAGAAAACCAAGAACCAGAAACGCAAAAACGCGGGCAACGGCATAGAGGAGCAATGCGGCACATGAGCTCCCTTTCCCCCCAATCTGAAACCCTAATCTTGGGTGGGAAAGGGGCTGAGACGTGTCAGTCCCTCATTGGGCACGCCTTTATGGTCAAAATTGGTCAAAACTGGTCAAATAGATTGGTTCTAGTCAACTAAGGGGTTATGATGCAATTTTGGAGAATTTTGAAGGGGCTAAAGTGCAGATAGAAGAAATTTTGGGGCTTATGTGTAATTTTGGAAAATTTAGAATAACTAAAAGATAAAATCCAGTTGTTGAAATAATTTAATTTGGGAATATCAACAGAAAATATCTTCCAAATAATATTATAATTATCTAGATCTTTAAGTTATTTGGAAGATATAAGATAAAAGATTCTGTCAACTGAATATTCAGAGTTCAAGCCCAATCAAGCCCTATATAAAGAGACCCACGGGAGGCAGAAAAGGGACTTCACTTCATTCATTCATTCACCACTTCTCTCTCTCTTATTTCATCTTGTATTCAACTCCATTCATGGAGAGCTAAGCATCTAGGGCTATTCTGCTGTAATTTCATGACGGATTCTGAGGTTACGTTCAGTTAATGCAATTGTTTACTTTGGTTATTGATTTAAGTTGTTCTCTCTATGTCTTTCATCTCTCTATCTTGTTAAAAGCAAAGATTTTTGCATCATAATATGTTTGAATCTACATGCATATTGATTATATGAGTTTTAGGGTTTCTAGGTTTAAATTGAGAATCTACTTTGATTTAATTTAGGAACTTTCATATGATTAAATGGTTTTTACTATCAATTGAGAATGTACTTTGGTTGGTAGTAATAATTTCAACTATAATCAATTGAGAATTTACTTTGATTGATTAACTTTTAACTTGGTTAGGAGATTTAAGAATAGACATGATTAAACACAATAGAATTTGATTGAGAATGTACTTTGGTTGAATTTATTGTGAATAATCTAGAAAGGTTTTGCATTTGATTGAGAATTTACTTTGGTTAAATGCATGATCGCCCTCAAATTAATTAAGAATGTACTTTAATTAATTTGAAACTTAAACAATAATCAATTGAACAATTATCCGTGAATAACCGATGATGAATCTATCTTGGAAAAGCAGTGGAATTAGCCTATTTAATCATAACTGTTTTTAAGTTTATTATTTGTTCTTTAAACATTCTCCAAACATCATTTTTATTCATAAGCATTGCATAGCATAAGAGTCAGATATTCAAAAGCAATTCCGTGTTCGTTGGGAGACGACTCAGGGTTACTTTAGCCCTATCTACCTTCTTGAATACTACTTGGCAATACTGAAGTTGCCTTGAAAAGTAGTATTAATTTGATAGCTTCAACGACAGCCTATCAAATTTGGCGCCGTTGCCGGGGAATACGGTTAGTATTTTAAATATTTTGATTCTTATTTTGATTTTTCTTTTTATTTTTTTAATTTTTAATTTTTAATTTTTATCTTTATTTTGTTTTATTTAACGCACATACATTTAATTTAATTTGAGTTATTTTGTAGCCTTTAGTCATTCTTGTTTTATCAAAAATCTTTGTTCTTGTTTTTATTAAGAATTTCTCTTGAGAAATACTTGAGGCTAGTTTGAATACACTCTGGCTAGGAAAGACTTGGTACTTAAGTTGTCCATTGTGACGCACCTCTCTTTCCTGGGAGTGGACCCAACAAGTCTCTCTTATCTCTTATTTGAAATCTTTATCTAAAGCAAGAACAAAAGAAAAAGATAAGTAACAGAGGAACAATTTCCAGCAGATTGCGTAGTGCATGACCAGAGCTAACCCGGGAGAATTTTATCAAATTAACCCGGAAGTTGAAAGGAATTTGCGTAAGCTGCGGAGAAGATTGAAATTTGGGTGTTCTACTGAGGGAACACTTCCTACATCTGAAGTCATACCACCTTCATTATCTCCAGTCACAAACATATCATCCAATCCTTTACCTGATCCTAACCCAAATAATATGGCACAAAGAACCATCAGACAGTTAGCCACCTCCCACAATACAGCTATCCGAAGTAACATTGAATACCCTAATGAGGAGTGGGAGTTGAGACCTGACCTGTTAAATGCCTTACCAAAGTTCAATGGGTTATCAAGGGAGAATCCACACAAGCACTTGAGACAATTTCACATGTTGTGTGAAAACTTTAGATCTCCCAGGATCACAATAGAGAGCCTTAAAATGAGAGCTTTTCCTTTTACTCTTCAAGGCGCAGCTCAAGATTGGTGGTATTATCTCTCTGCACGGATTACAAATTGGGAAACTATTGAAAGACTCTTTCTTGAGAAGTATTTTCCTGCATCCAGATTATCAGCTATCCGCAGAGAAATTCAAGATATAAGACAGAGAGATAGAGAGAATCTTAGTGAATATT